CCATGCTTCATAGACTCAAGGCTTCAAAAAGGAGACCGGATCGAGTAGGCAAAACCTTGTGAACACACTTGTTAAGTACTCAATAATCGAGGGTAGTCTGAGGGTTTTATGTGTGTGTTGAGTGATTACACATTGTGCTCACTCTGTGTGCCTAACTGATCCGGATTATTCAGAAAGCTTACCTACATTGATGAGAGCTCTCGATATTATAGTTTGAAGAAATCCATTCTTAGACATATCAACAAAAATCTAGAGTGGAAAACTGTTTATTTTTTGTATTGTATTATTTTGTATGTATTTGTACTGTATATATTTGTATTTGTGCTCCTTCAAAACAAAGCCCAAAAATTTCAATATTTGGGTGTAAACCATGGCCTAGAAGTTCTTTTACAAACCCAAGTGCTTGTTTCACTCTAACCATGTTTTCAGCAATGTTTTAAAAACTGATTTGAAACTGGAAATGTTCTGGCCACCAATTTCCAAGTCGACGGTTTGACTGTCCAGTTTGAATGGATATTAAAAAAAATATTAAAATAAAAAATGGCCAAAAAATGTTGAACGGGTCAAATAGGTTGACAGCTCGTAGCTCGTTGACCAATTCAACGGTTGTTGGTTGGGGACCAGGTTTGAAACAAAACAGAACTGATTGCTTGGATGATTTCCAATCCAAATAGTCCAACCATCCGGGTCAATAACGATTCGAAAAGATTGATTTTCAGTACCCATTCAGACGTGCATTTGCATAGAGATAAGGTAAACCATCAAATTGCCGCATCATGATATCCATATCTTTAGTACCCATCAAATTGCCGCATCATCTACGAAAAGATTAGAGCCATTCCGATCCCATCCTTTGAAATGTATGACAGATGGTGTGGAGTCTTGACTGGAAGGGAAGATACACAGTCAACCATGATTAAATATAATGAAAAGCAAGCTAACTGTTTTAAGGAAGTTTGGAAAATTAAGGGAGTGTTTTACAATATGAATGTTTTTGTTTTCATTTATTTTTGAATTGTCACAACAGCAAAAAAACAAAAACGTGTTTTTGAACTTTATTTTTGTTTTCAAAGGGAAAAACAAATTGGTTTTATTTTAAAAAACATTACATGTTTTTGGAACCAACAAAATATTAGTTTCTAAAACAAAAAAAAAATGTAGAAGTTATATGATTTGTTGAACATGATGTTGGATAATCAGATGAAAACATGTTTGAAAATATATTCAAAAAAATGTTTTTGGTTTCAGTTTTGAAAGCAAAACACATACACACATACAACCGAGAAGAGGTATTTTGTGTTTTTGTTTTGAGAAATAATCTATTTCAAACAAAATGATTTTGATTTATTTTTAGAACCAGCAATAAGAAAAACAATGCATGTTATAGAACACCCCCTAAATGTCCCCCGAAAATCAAATAATTTTTGTTTTATTATTAGAAATTAAATTAATTACAAGAATAAGAATGAAAAAGGTGGGGAATGAAAGAAGTGGATTGCCCTTTTTATGGAGAATACGAGGATTCTAAGCATCTTTTTTCTTCACCATAGGGAGATAAAAAACCATTGTGGGATATATTAGAAGGAATTGTGATGACCACCCTAAATTTAAATGAGGAAATTGAGGATTGGTGGAATAGGGTGCACAATGAGGGAAAAAGAGAAAAGATATGTATATTATTGAAATTTCAATCTTGCCACTTTGAGTGATTCGGAAAAAAACAGAAATAATAATATTTTCAACAATAAGAGCTTGCCCCCACCGAGAGGCTACTTGATAAGAGTTGAATAATCTGTTTTGAGTATGTGCAATTCCACTGTGGGGTGACCCATGCCTCCCCTGGTACTCATTCAATTCCCCTAGCGATGGAGCCTCTCAGATTGGCGAGTTCAACATCAATTTTGATGCATCAAAGGACCAGAGATGGAAGGTGTGCAGTAGGAGTAATAGCAAGGTACTCCATGCACCCTTTCTAAGGACGTTGGATCATGTTATGAAGTGTGGGCTGCGATTGAAGCCCATAAAATAGCTTCAAAGTTCCATTGCTTTAAAGAACATTATTGAGGGTGACTCAAGTGTTATCAATGGCCTCCGAGGAATAAAAATCCTATCTTGGGATATCAAGAACTTCAGCGAAGAATGCCATGCGGTGAGCTGTCCAAGCAACTTAACAATCTCTTATTCCCATACTTTCAGAGAATCTAATATTTTGCTTACATAGGTTAGCCAACTTGCTTATTTATTTGTTTGTCGGATGTGTGGGACCTGGCTACCCCACGTCAGTATTTGATCGTATTATCTGTGTTTTTGGTTTTGCTGGTTTTATTTTATTGTTTGTATTCACCTAGACTATCACCAAAAAAAGTAAATAAGCTCCCTTAAAATTTTTGACAAAAAGTATATAAATGTCTAAAATACCCATGTAATTAATGACAAAGCCAGTTTCTTCCAAAAAAAATTAATACAAATTTTTTAGACAACAAAAGACATAGGGAATTTAAAGTTACAGCTTCACCTTTGATTGATTGATACGAAGGGTTAGAAAATAATTGAATTTCAAACAAAGAGATTGGAAGGGCTTGGGCTAGTGATCTATATCAACAGAAAATTTGGAAAATAAACATTTTGGTCAAAATAAGCTGCATGAGTATTTTGAACATTTTAATGCCTCTTTTTAAAGGTCTATTTGCAACTATTTCAAAAAGTTTAGATGAAGTGATTGAAATAATAAAATTAAATTTCAGAGGAAGTTTCATAAAAAAAAAAAACGATGAGGTCCATGAGGATCATGTCAACGGCAACAGTGGTATAAATCCTCTTTTTCCACCGTTTCATCAAATACTTGGTGTGCTTTCGTAATTTGTAAAATCAACCATGCTATGGTTGTGTTTGGTTGCAGTGCAATTATATTTGCACTAATACAAATGCATGAGAGTGCAAATGTAAAAAATGCAAATTCTTTAATTTTGTTTTAGATTTTATTTTCTTCTGCGTCATGTCTTAATTTACTTTAATTAAATAAAACAAGCAATTTAAAACACAGATAGGTTAGAATTTACATTCAAATCATTTGCACTTCCATGATTTTGCACCAGTGTAAATTCCAATATGTTAAGGGATAGCATGTCCTCATAAAGATTTCAGGTTCCACATGGAAGTGTCAAAACCCCAAGAATTACTTCAAACTCCAAAGCCCAAACACTAATTAGCGAATTTGGAGCCCTCAAACCGCTTGAGCATATCGAAAGTTGAGCAACCAAATTTGGGACTTTTGGAGTCTTTATGCTATGTTTGGTTACGGTGCAAATTTATTTATATTGATGCAAAATTATAGTAGTGCAAATGATTTGTGTGCAAATTTTTTATTTATTTTTGTTTCAAATTTTACCTTACTTTGTTTGATTGCAGTACAAACAAAGTAAAGTAAAACTCAAAGCAGTATAAAGTAAAATCTAAAGCAAAATTATATCAACATTTACACTTTTTTCATTTGCACTCTCATACATTTGTACTAGTGCAAATAAAATTGCATTGCAACCAAACACAACATTACCGGCATATGGTGGGGCTGTCAATGAATCATGTTTGACTTAATGGGCCTGAACCGATTGGGTCAGTATGGTTTTAGGATAGTGAGGCAATCGAGTCTGACTTGATGGATCCAATTATAATAAATCTTCTGAAAATATTATAATTTATTTAATGTATTAATAATTATATGAATTATAATATTTTCAAAAGATTTATTATAATTTGGTCTATTGGATCAAACTCAATTGTCTCAAGAACTGATTGATTTGGTTTTGGGTCCAAAACTATAGACCTATTTTTGATTTTTTAATATTTTTTATCCTGTTGGTTCAAGTTCTACCTAGACTCAACCCATTAATAGGAGTGTCAACAGTATTTGAAAATCCGATTTTGAATTCGAGATTCGACATAATCAAATCAAATTTGGATATGACTTTATTTGATTCAATAAATATCCGAATTTATATACTTTATATAAATAAAATATTTATTCTATATATTTATTAATTACCTAAAATAATTAATTGGTCAAATTCAAATTCAAATATTAATTTTTAATATTCGTCGGATATCGAATCGAATTCAGATGTCAGATTTCTAATCGGATTCAAATTCGGCTATTGCTTGATTCGCTTCAAAATTGATCCATTTACACTCCTACCCATTAACTAGGGGTGAGAAAGAAAAACCGAAAAACTGAACCAAACCGATCGATATACATATATCTTATATTATCTTTATATTATAAATGAATATATATATATATGTATTGTATATATTTATAATATAATATATTATTTTATATTTATTATATATAATACTATGAAAATCGAAAACCAATGTACTAAATCAATTAACCGATTAACTTATTGGCTTCAGTTCGGTTTCAGTTACCGGTTTTCTAAAAACTAGTAGCACTGGTTTGGTTTGAAAAAAAAGGCCCATGAGCATCCCTAGACATTAAATGCCCTTATAATTAGGGGTGAGCATAGGTCCGTTCAGTTTGGCAATTACCTTTTACATTATTTATTGTATACATTCAAATATTAAAATGAAAAAAATAATCAATAAAATTAAATAAAATAATGGTCAAGTGAAACTATAACTTTTATAACCATAAGTATTTGGATTCAAATCTTTACATCTCAAAGTATTTTGGGGTTTATTTCATGGAAAATTCAATTTAAAGACTGGCTCCATTAAACCAACCAAAATCGATTCATCAGATCGGAATAGGGAACTCCTAAACTGGAACTGGCTTCGATGAGATCGGTTCCACCCTACGCGATTCAGTCTGTGCAAGGCCTATAGCACAGCCTTACGGAGATATTCCCAATGCAGGGCTATGAAGGCTATTCGAACGTTGTTCGTACCGCCCTTGCACTGACCGAAGCCGAGTTCGATTTTTTCTTGAAAGGTTGAGGTTAACTGAAATACAAACAAGTGTTATTATTGGCGGGAGAATCTTCAACATTTTCTCACTTGTTACTCTCAATCAGGACCATCGTCACCATCCATCACTCCCGCAAGAGAGACCTTCTGGATCGGCGATGAGCCTGTTTAAACTTCAAACGATCTAAAGCAACGATTACAGGTTTACAGAATTACAGTTAATTGCTCATCAAACGCGAGAGTTAAATTGCTTCATGTTCTACAGTCGAAGAAAAAAAATTGATTAATCAGAACAAACGGTATCCGAACCGCTATAAAAGACATTAAACGCAGCAAAAGACAATGCAGGCGAGAACCCAACAATGTGGCGAGGTGAGCCTAAGCCTATCAACCACTCTCGCTTCCATGGCCGAGAGCTGCACCTCCATGCGAGACCTGAAACGGATCCACGGCCGCACGATCCGGATGGGGTTGCACCTCCACACCCTCATACTTGCTAAGATGTTAAGGTTCGCTGCCGTCTCGCCTTCAGGTGACTTACACTATGCGCTCCGCATCTTCTCTCACATGCCCCAACCAAATACCTTCTTCTACAACACTCTTATTCGAGGTTACTGTAAAAGTCCAAGCCCTTCACATTCAATTTCCCTGTTCAATCAGATGAGGCGCAATTGTGTCGAGCCGGATGGATTCACCTTCACATTCCTACTCAAAGCACGATCCAGGATGAATTTGTCATCCATTGAAACATCAGATGAGCTCCATGGGCAGGTTTTGAAGTTTGGGTTCTCTTCACATTTGTTTGTTCAGAATGCGTTGATTCATCTCTATGCTGTTAGGGGACTACCGGGTGCCGCTCGTCGGGTGTTTGACGAGACACTGGATCCAGATGTAGTATCGTGGTCAGGTCTTGTACTTGCACATGTGAAAGCCTATGAATTGGATGATGCACGCCTAATATTTGATAAGATGCCAGAGAGAGATGTGGTTTCCTGGACTGCAATGATCTCAGGTTATACCCAAACGAAGCGTCCGAAGGAGGCGCTGGAGTTGTTTGGTAAGATGAGGGATGCAGGCGTGATACCGGATGAGGTCACCATGGTGAGTGTAATATCAGCCTGCACGAGTCTGGGGGACTTGGAAGCTGGGGTGGGTATTCACCGTTACATTGACAATAACGGATTTGGGTGGATGATTTCACTTGGCAATGCATTGATCGACTTGTATGCCAAGTGTGGTTATATAGAGGGGGCACGTTGTGTGTTTCGGAAGATGGAAAGGAAAAGTTTGATCACTTGGAATTCAATGATCTCTGCCTGTGCGAATCATGGGAATGCGGAAGAAGCAATTCAGTTGTTCTATGAAATGGCCTATGGTGGGGTTCGACCTGATGGCGTGACATTTCTAGCCCTGTTGACTGCATACACGCACAAGGGGTGGGTTGAAGAAGGTTGCAGTTTGTTTGAGAGCATGCAGAGTGACTATGGAATCGAGGCCGGTATAGAGCACTATGGTTGCATGGTTGATATGTTAGGCCGCGCAGGGCGGTTGGGAGAAGCATATAAGTTGATCGTAAGGATGCCAATTCCGAGCAACGATGTTGTTTGGGGTGCACTGCTTGGTGCTTGTAGAATATATGGTGATGTTGACATGGGGGAGCGGATCATAAAGAAGCTGTTAGAGTTGAAGCCAGACGAAGGGGGCTACTACATTCTTCTTTGTGATATATATGCTGCTGCTGGCCGTCAAGCAGAAGCTATTGAGATGAGGCGAAACATGAAAGCCAGGGGAGCAAAGAAGAACCCGGGCTGCAGTTGGGTGGGGTTACAAGCCTCAGATTAATTACTAGTTGTTTATATTTACTGGGTCAGACACATCTGATATCACACCCAAGTTGTTTGCTTTGCTCGTGTAGTCGTGTTCTTTCCCTCTGTAGAATCCTGGGGCTCTGCAGTGATACCTGGTTTCTTTGTTGCAGAACTGCAAGAGGAATATGGAATTCAACTAAATCTATGCGCCGCTAGAAGATTTGCATTCTTGTCAGGCTAGTATCCTTCTGTATCATACATAAATGGGAACCTCGTATATTGCCCAAAATTTTTGCACTGGTTGAGACCCTAGCAACATTGGTGTTGAATTCAATCTACACTTGCAGTTTTGCATATAAGTATATCAGGATTCCGTTCGGATAAAATGGAAGCTGATTCTGATAATACCACATTCATATTCTTCCTAAGCTCTTGAACCAGACCATCGTTTCCGAGAGAAGGGAAGCAATTGCATGGGAAAACGCGCGCTTGTCGATTGGATTTTTCATGCCAACAGTTCTAACCAACCTGCAATGCACTGTTGGAAAGATGGTGGTGTAAAATGTGATAGGTACTTGACAAGACAATGGACAGATGAGGTGGCTCAGAATTCAGGCTTTGTTCAGTACTCTAATGCGATGCTATAGGCGCGCTGAAGAGGACACATCTAGAAGTGCACCAGGTGGCATCCGTGGCAATACCATCTGCTCAGACTAGCTAGTTAACTTGACAACAAAGAGGTGCCTTCAATTGATGCGAAGTGGGGGGAGAGGAAGAAGGAATAAAACCCGATAAGATGATTTCACCTGGGTCGTGGGTGCTTTCTGTCTGCAACCATACCGGAAGGGATGACAAGGAGTGGTACTACAGTACTACTTTCTACATGACTAGAGTTTAAGGTATTCAGCACTGGGCACATGGTTGATATACAAAACCAAATGGAGACAACTGATGCACTTTGGGGCTCTTCCCTCGGTGGTTGCAAGGATAAATGGCTTGTGTCAGCTTGAGAACCTAACTCAAAACAGTTCCCGTGCTAAGGATTCTAAGGTGTGAGGATGTTGGAGGCTATCACATGACACGCTTTGAAGGACATATGGGTTATCTGCCTTGGCACTCTGTTAGTTGTCTTCTGGAATTTGGCCCTGCTAATTCTATTTCCAAATATTCAAGATTTTAAGAGAGCTATGAAGAGTGAAACTTCTTTGACCAAATACAACAAACCAGGTCATCATACTGAGCATATCATTGACCAGGAATTGATATTTTGCTATTTATCAGGTTAAATCCGTTCTTTACAAAGTTTTATGCTGCGAATTAAGTAACTTTGTCTTTGTCCTCCATTAGTTTGGGTGAAATCCTGTAATAAGCTTTGGTTCTAGGTTATACCTATAGTATAGGAGAAAAAAAAAACAATTCTCATTGCATAGGTAGGATAACTTTAGTAGAGAATAAATACTTCAATTTGGCGTGGTAATGGTTGTATGTATATTATCTACATTATAATCCCACCTCTGAACTTGAGATTCTTAAGGCTACTTTGTTTGGGGTGGAAAATCGAATTGGGGTAAACTTTACACTATGGTTTGATTTTAATTTTACACCAAAAATCGGTGTAAATTTTCATTTTGAATTTTCTTTACACCAATAATCGATGTAATATAAAATTAATGTCTCTTTCTTCCTCTCTCTTCTCTCTCTCTCATCTTCTTCTTCTTCTCCTTCTCGGCCCCTCCGGCTGCGGATGGCTTTGTTGCGAGTGATCCACCTCCGAAGGGAGAGACGGAGAGGACCCAGAAGGAAGAAAAAGCGCTAGTCTAGTCGTCCCCTCAGGCTGCAACTGGATCCGTTGTGAGTGACTTTGTTTAGGTTTTTCTTGCATTTCTTTCTTTTCTTTTTAATACTTCAATCCTGTCCTTCTTTGTAAAAGTCTTATCCACAACAGAGAGTCGGAGACGGAGAGGAGGATTGAGTTCGATGGGGACAATTAGCGATCCGACCCAGGATAGATCAGAGGAGCAGCAAAAGCGCTCAGAGATCAACACCTACGAGGCCCCCTCGCACATCTACGCCATGAACTAGAGCATTCGCCGCGATAAGAAGTACCAACTCACCATCGCCAGCCTCCTCGAGCAGTACCCCAACAGAGTCGAAATCGTCCAACTTGACGATTCCACCGGCGAGATACCATATGTCTCTCTTTCGTTCTCTCTCTTTCTCTCTTCTCCTCCTCCTTTTTCTTCTTCTTCTTCCCTGCTTCACTCCTCTGTAGATCGTCTTCTCCTCCTCTGCACCATCTCACTAAATTTATACCTTCGTGACTTCGTCCCCAATTCCAATCCTCATTAAAATAAATTGTTTTGTTAATTGACAGACTCTATCCTTACTGTTTTAAAATACCTCTTCTATTTCTAACATTGTAACGATTATATTAAAATGTCCTTTCTGCCCTTCCATTGAGTATTGCCAATAGAGTCGAACTCCGACATGGGAGAAGCTGTCACCTAGAGGGACCGCCAGCCAGCTATCAAAACCAATAAAACTCCATAAATATAAACATCACACTTCTTGAAGAGCCCAACACCACCATACTCAAGAGCGGCGTAGAAGATAGTGCCCCTCATGCTAGGAGTGTTGCTGACACCACCACTCTTGGGTATCTCTCCACTTGCCCAATCCTGGCTATTGTGACGATCATTCCGTAACCCCGACTAAGCCCGTCCAACCACCAATCAACACTGCTCTAATTGCTTCTTTTGCTTTTCTTCTTTCTGTGCGCTCCAAAATCATCGTCCCCTTTGCTACCAATGCTCTCCAACACCAACAATGTCCACCACTCTAAACACCTCTGCAGTTTCTTCTGTTCCGATTTCCCACTAGGCCTTCCACTATCGTCTTGTCCGAAATTTCTGATGGCAACTTCTCCGCGATTGCTATTTTCGGTGATGCCTCGATATTCGAAACCCTTAAGTAACTCTCCCGCGACTAATCCGCACCAATATGCACCTCTTCATAACCCGTTGCCACGCTCTCTGTCTCCCCAGGTATAGATCCATTGTCCTCCCCTCCACCAGCACCTCCCTCGCTAATCTCTGATCTCTGATCTCTCTTTCAAACCCTCTCTTTATTCTTAGAGTTCTTTATTCCATTTCAGAAACACAAGAATATTCCTCTATATCATTATTTCAATTTCTGTCTTTTATAGGCTTTCAATTGTTCATGGTTTCTGTTATGTTCAGATGCATTTACAAACCACAATGACAAATAATTTGCTTCAGCCATATGATCATTTCTCAGTTTTCTACAAAAATCCAGCTTTATGATTATGCATCAAGTTGCAAGAAAGCTATTCAGCTATTTTGACAATATTTCTTCTTTCACTACAAAATTAAAGACTTTGTTGATGGCCTAGCAGATCAGAGATACAAACAGAGTGGATCGAAAAGTCCAAGAAAAACAGAAAAGCAAAAAGGCCCAGATAATGTGTTGGCCAATTAATAAGTGTGTAACAAGACATTACCCGAAAGTTTAATATTATAGAGACAAGCACATACATTGCATCTGAACTTGAGCAAGTTTTTGCAAAAGTAGTAATCGGCGCTCAGCACCTCCTTAGTGTTCCCAAGGCATCCCATGCACTTAATCTCCTCGACCTTATATATGGATTCAACACTTGGCAACTGAGCAACTATTGTGGGAATTCTGCCTTCATCATAGCAACCGGTTTTGGGTCTACTGCCTTCATTGGACAACCAATTGTTCGACCTCAACCAAACGAACATCCTTGACAATCCCAATGTATGCTTAATAAACATTTATTAGCGGGATGTGCAGCGAAGTGCAATTTTTGAGAAATTATTGTAATTTATTTAGGTTCATATTATTTGATAATTTAAAGTATTTATCATCCTAAGTTCTATTAATTTTTAGAATTTAATGGTTATTTTTACAAAGTTATACTAATTTTATCTATTTTACCATATTTAATGGAAATTAGTGGTTATTTTTCCCTAAGTTCTACTAATTTCTGGTAATTTCTATTATATAATAATTTATGATAATTCTTGGTAAATATAATATTTTATGGAAATTAGTGGTTATTTTTGGCTAAGTTCTACTAATTTCTGGTAATTTCTATTATAATAATTTATGAGAATTCTTGGTCAATATATACTTATTATATGCTAGTTTATTGGTCAATTAGTGGAAATTAGTTCTATTATATAATTTCTACTAATTTCTGGTAATTTCTATCATATACTAATTTCTTAGTAAATATATACTAAGATATTATATTTATTATATGATAGTTTATTGGTAAATTATAGTAATTTTTCAATTTTATGGAATTTAGTGGCTATTTTTGGACATTTCTACTAATTTATGATAATTTTTGACAAATTATTTTAATGTATTGAGGATTATATTATTTGATAATTTCAAGTAATTATCATCCTAAAGTCTATTAATTTGTGATAATTTCTTTTGATTTATTTTTAGTATTTTTTTATAAATATTGGTAATTTATGTCTAATAATTATAATTTCTTTTAATTTATATTTGACAATTTTTTTAATTATTTGACAATTGTTATTGTTATATTATTTGACAATTTTAGGTATAATAGTTATCAAATTCCAAAAAGAAAATTCAAATAGCAATATTTTTAACTTACAATATGTAACAAACAATCTTCAAAGAACAAAATCTATAAATGTAAACCAAAGCAATTCAAGGTTCAAAGTATCGGCCCGTATCGGCCGATACGTATCGTGTCGGTGGCTTCCCGATACGCCCCTACAAGGGTTGTATCGGATCAGCCACTGATTCAGAGGGTAGTCAGGCCTTAAACCAACACCTTTGAACCAATTTCGAAAAAAATAAGTAAAACATAAAAAAGCACCGTCCCAAGGCATATCGGCCAATGTCGATATTTAGAACCTTGAAGCAATTCATTAAGCTAAATGCAAATAGCATTTTTAACTGACATTATATAACAATCTTCAAAGCACAAAACCCAAAAATTTAAACCAAAGAAATTCAATAAGCAAAAAGGCACATTTTTTTTGCTGACTTTTGTTAACATTATTTAGTTATTTTTAATATAGCACTAATTATTAAATTTATGAATAGGATTTATTAATAATTACCAAAATTAAATTAAATTAACAGTATTTATCAGTAATAGTCAATATTTATAATATTTTATTAAATAATCAATAACAATACTTTTAATAACATTTTTAATATAAAAATAATTACTAAATTTATTAATAGTGTTTATTGTTTTAATTTAAAGTAAAACTAAAGTAAATATCTATTTATTACAATATTTATAATAACAGTAATTATTAATTATAATCACTAAATTATACATTTATTAAATTACCATAATAATCAGTAATTATTAAATCCGGGTTACTAAATTTATTAATAACAGTATTTATAATTTTAATTTAAAGTAAAATTAAAGTATATATCTATTTATTAACAATATTTATAATAACAATAATTATTAATTATAATCACTAATTATATATTTATTAAATTATTGTAATAATCAGTAATTATTAAAACTAGGTTAAAATAAATAGATAAATTACTACCATTTGGCGAAAGGGAAGACCACCCCTTTCGTATTAATATATATATAAGATCGGCAGAGCAGAAGTAGTAGGAAGAGTGGAGTGCTTCCTGATCTTGCTGCTACTCCAACCAAGGAGCTTGACAAGATCTACAACGATGCTCTCAAGTTGTTGCTTAATTGCCTTTGAGGGTTTGCCCTTGATGAAAAGCCTCTTAACAAGCTCTGCTACAATTTCTTCAAGTTTGCTCCCTAGAAAATCTCCAATCGTCAACCTCCTAATCCCAATAGGCTTTGCAAAAAGGTAACAACAGACATCACTCGTCCATTGTGGAAACTATTGTAGAGGAAGGCATAGAAGGCCTTGAGCTTCCCGCTTTGATAGAGCCCCTCAAGAAATCCCTTCAAGGCCCCCTTGTCGTGTTGATGTCTGTTGATGCCAGTGAGTCAATTTAATAGCAGAACCAGTCCATTCCCTTAATAGGGAACGGAGTCCAACCTCCCCTTGCCCAAACCAAAAAGGGAATTTTAGACCAATAAAGGGTATTCTATGAATTTTTTAACAATATATTTGCCACGTGATGTTACATGTGAATCGTTTATGATGAAGAATTGACAGTAGGGAAGGTCTTAAACAATTGCTAGAAACAGCAAGGATACTTCAAGACAATATATAAATAGTAAGGGTAGTTTAAGAAATTTGCCCAATTTTTAAATATAAAAATGTTTTAAATATATGTTGATATAAATGATATTGTGTGTGTGTGTGTCTATATATATTCCTTCTATGAATAAATACCTGACGAGGATAGAGAAAATTGTCATCCTTATATGAATTTCATATCTTTAAAGTTTGAACGGCTACCATTGAAGTTTCTAATCCAATAACAACAACAACAATAATAATAATAATACAAAAAAGGCAATCGCACACATCTACACCAAAGCCCACATACACAGAGTATCAATATAACCATA